TTTTTTTTTTTTTTTTTCTTTCTAACAAGACTTTGTATCTCATATTATTTTCATACTTTATTATTTTACTTATTTATTATTTTGATACCTTGTGTAATTTTTATTAATGTGATCTTTTTATTTTATTTATTCTTAATTATGCTTATTTAATGTGTGTATACCTTTATTCTCTCATTTTGCTATCTTGTGAATTTGACTTTTCAAAGGTTAATGCTTCCATAGTTGCACTTGCAAATAATTTATTTGTTCTTTCTTTTTATTTGTAAATGTTTATTTCAAATATTAAAAAATTATTTTATTTTCAAATAGTTTGTTTGTTAATATTGAAATTTTTTGAATATTATTGATAATTTTATAAGATACAATTATTGTTTTCCGGCAATGTTTGTATCTTGTAAAATATATCCTAATAATATTTTTCTAATATAACATTATGCAAAAAAAAAAAAAAAATAAATAAATAAAATAAAATCAATTAATAATTAGATAAATATATCTTAATTTGAGTTGATTATAAGTGTCGTTCATATTTGAGCTTGTACTCTTTTAACAAACAAATATAAGGCTCTGCTCGAGTTTGACTCGTTGAAGCTCAGATCGATTTACTCGTTTAATAAATCTAAAATCTAACAATGTGTTCGTGAATAACTTATTTCGCATAAAAATGAGTTTATTCATAAATTTTTAAAGAATTAATATATACAGCATCTTTTTTTTTTATTTATTCTTGTTTATATTAGTTATTATGTTACGTTTATTAATAGTTTATTCAAACATAATATTATAACTTCAAGTATATAAAAGTCTTAATAAGTTTTAAAAAGTTCATTATGAAAGTCTTAAAAAGTCACTAATGAAAATACTTATATATCTATCAAAAACGTTTTATCCAAATATATAAATATATATATAATTTAATTTATATTACTTTTCATACTAAAACTAATTTAATAATATACATATATATTGTACCAAAAAATAATATAGATATATATATATATATATATTATTTAAGTTATAATATTTTTAATTATTAAACTAATACATAATTTATAAATACACGATATATTTTAATTATTAAATAATACATTATATGTATTACTAAAAAATTTATTAGTTAAATAAATATTTGCTAATTAAATAAATATATTAAATATAAATTATTAAATCAATAATATAATGTTATTAAAGGTTGTTGATATTGAATTAATTGTTTTTTAAATAAATATTTAATATATTTAATTCAATTTAATTTTTATATTATATAAATATTTACTAAATAAATTAATATATTAAATAATTTAATAAATAAGTATATTAGATAATAAATATAATAAATAAGTTTAATATCATAATAATAAATTAAATATTTATTAAAAATAAATATATTCAATAATATAATTAATAAATATATTAAATATAAATTAAATTAAATAAGATAAATAAAAGAATTTAATAAAAGTTTTATTAAAAAATACTATATTTAGTATTTATTTTAGTTTCACTAAATAAATAACTAAAAATATCATTTTATTTTATTTCTAATTATAT